TTTGATGCGTTTTAAATCATGTTATTTCCAAGTCAATGTATATATGTCAGTGTTAAATTTATAGTGAACAAATGTCAAGCATTAGAAAATTCCAAATCCTGATCAAAATGCTTGTACGTGGTGTTGGTCAAATGTCCTTCACGTTTAACAAAGACAATAAATAAATAATTAAAAAAAAAAACATGGGAAAAACATTGGATATGTAGTGGCTGTACTTCGTTAACCAATCACCCTCGTAACCGTTACCATATAATCCTCAACGGCGTTTGAAATCAGAAGGCAAAGAGAAGCAGCGACTACAGTTTTATTAGTAGATCATTCAGATCACAAAGCATTGAAGCGAATGAGTGAGTCAGAGAACCGAGAGTGTATATAGTGTTAAATGTACATGTATATATAAGGAAATGAATGGATCATCGAATCAATTAAGCAGCTAATAATAAAGCTAGCAGAATGAATATATGCGTAGGTGGTAAACAATGTTCCCGCATACATATTTCATACAAGCATAATAATAATAAAGGTACAATAAGTTGTTATAGTAGGAATGACTTTGTCCGCTAAATAAGTTAACAAAAGGGCTTAACTGAATTAAATGAGAATAAACTCAATTGCACGTGAGTCGCTATAGATATATCTCATGTTCATTTACAAACATTGTGATCAAACAACATCACATACATGCTACAACTAATTTTATTTAATGTGTTTATAGGGATTGATATCGTATAAGCTAACAATCATACCAAGAATCTTCCACAGCTAAACCAATGGTGCACATAGGCTCCAGTATCCTGAGGAAACAAATGGCGTATGAACCAATTGTTGGTCACCGGCTTCCATTGGAGTGCATCTCCTTATGATGCTCCACTGCCTTGTGGATCAGACCTTCAGGTCGAAGGCTCGGGGTGTGGCCCCCGGGCAGTATCACAGCCCTCACACATATCGAATGAGATTTGTGTGGCGCATACGTATTTGGTGCCTCTTTGTATCAATATCTATGTGTTAATTAAAATAAATAAACAGCTAACTGTTCCTTCTGACTTCGGCATCTCTAAAACACAGTTGATTTCATCAAATGGATTTATTCACTAACAGTGTTGCTTGTAATGATTATTCATTACAGAAATCAATATGTAAAATAAATGTCATAGAAATAATTAAAAAAAAACATCAAATAGAACCAAAATCACATTCAATCAATGTTTGATTTCCCATTAATAAATTATATTTAAAGAGTTAACATCTATAACAGGGTTTTTCTTCTCTCTTTTTTTCACTGTATTTACTTAAAACAGATTAGGCTAATACGATGAATAGTTCCCGAGAACCATTTATGATAGAGTTTTAATCAATGATATGAACTATTACGTAATTTCATAAATTTTTTTTAATAGAAATATATGCATAGGAAATGTAAACAGTTCAGTGTCTGAAAAGAAATTTAACTAATTCATTCGAATTCAATCATCTAGATATATTTAGATCTATGAACCTTTTTAAGACAGATGCTATTTATCATTAACGAACAAAATAAGTCAAATTCATTGTTCAATTAGATTCTCACGTACCTTTAACTTTTGAATAAGCCATTTCTTTAGCTTCTATTAATTGTTGCAATTCTTCGATTGCCACTAAAAAGAAAGAACATATACATACATACTAAGGATGATAATACTCTTAACAGGTTAGTGAGTATCAACTTCGTTCCTAATACGTATGTGGATTGCCCCAAGTTGCTGTAACACATTAACACGAATAGATGAATATTGAGAAAATTAAAATAATATAGAAGCATGAATAATAAGAAAGACTAAACATTGAGAATATGTTACGGAAGAACAGTACAAAATTATAAATAAAGGAGAACTAGAATTCAAAATCTTGAGCACAATAAAGAGTAAATGTATTTGTACCATTGTGACCGATTTTCAGCCATCTTACTTAAATTCTTCAACCACTTAGCCAAATTTAATTTGCTGACTTCAACCAGTCAGTCTGCATTTACCATCATGGCTTAGATCAAAAGTCAGTGATTTCATGAACTAATGATATGTTTTGGTCTGACTAGCCCTAGCTTTTTTCCAACTTACATCTTCGCCAGCTAACATTGCTCGTTAAGATAGTAAGTGGTAAAGCATACTTAACACATCACGACCTACCTAGTAGATGAAGATTCACAATCTCACCAACTGATTAGCCAAATTTGCCCAATACTCTATGTATGACCTCAGAATCGCTAACTCGGTTGTTGTACAATATCTAAGCAATGCTTCGAAAACACATGTGATCAAAATCTATCAGACTACACATATCTGCTGCTTTCACAGACCATATTTCATAGCCACTAACCATCAGCCTTAAGACCGACACAATAAACATGGTAACTATACACGTGTAGTCTTATTTTATCAATACTAGTAAGCCCCCTTGAATGTTAATGGTAGAACATTCAGAGCCTTCCTTATATTTCTGATCAAAACTGTACTGAGGCATGTGACTACCGTTATATCCTAAATGAATTTCAATCATATGATTAAAGGAAGACATTTCATCCTTTGAACAAGCTTGCACTGTTGTGAAGTGGTTAAAGAGAGTCAGCAAGAGACCCTGAACCAAGGTTTCATGTTAGCTGACACTCGTTAGTAAGCAGTATCTGTAAACTTTGGAAAAGTGGTGGCCCAAATGGGGTTTGAACGAGAAACTTCATTGGTAAATTTCGAACAGCTCTGAGGAGTGGAGATATACTAAATTAGTTGTTAGTCAATTATTAATCAAGGTAAGTTTGGAAGGTGTTTTCCGACAATTATTAATTTAACCCCATGTGAAAAACACTAACATTATATAGTTGGTTTGGCAATAATAACCTCTATATTTCATTTAAGCTTAATGAAGACCGCAGAACATGATAAATATACCACCACTATTTGTTCACCTTTTTAGGCATGAAGATAGACCTAGAAAACGTGATTATGTTCCAGGTAAGTAAATAGTCAGATCAGCTAGTGACAGCCAACAGAATACGCTGGAAATGAGAAAAACATCGCAAAGATAAGGGTATGATTACAGAAAGCATCGTCTACCTTCTTTTTTGTGCAACTCTGTCATCAACTTTGACCGTTCACATTCCCAATCAGCAGTGATTGAGTTTAAACGAGATTCAAAACTGGAACGGACATGTTCAATTTCTTTGGCGGAATTGCTCATTTCTTTTTCAAGCATTTCAAAGACAGCAGTTTGGTCGAGGAGAACAGTAGAACTTGACTGTTTTGTAGGTATTTGAGACGACATTACTAATAGTTCATTATATTTTATGTTCAGCTCATTATATTGGTCTATAAATTCACTTAGGCATTTGTCTAGAGAAAATGTACTCAATTCCCGTATACGAGCAAACAATCCGCTTTGTAGACCTCTAGCCAATGTACTTAACAGGTGATAGAAATCTTGCTCTGTTTCGACCGAGCCCAGGCACGAGTTTTCGGACAATGTTACTTTGGAAAGTTCTGAAAGTTTGTTAACAACTGAAGATACGGTCTGTAATTGTTCACTGTATGATGAAAAAGCACTAGAGGTATCGGATAAAAGGCTTTTGATACTTTTGAGATCAGAAAAAATAGTCCCACATGAAGTTATTTCATTCTTTTCCTCGTAACAATACATTTTATATGGGAATGAATTAATTTCATCAATATCCTTTAAATCATCCACGTTTTGAAAATCACAAGCTCTTAGAACACGGCCAAGACTAACGATATCTTTTTTCAGATCATTTATATCAGAAACCGTTGAACCAAGCACCACACATGGATCCTCTTCCATAAATCTCTAAGGAATAAGAGGGACTAGAAGGAACAAACTAAATGACATGCATATTTATCACGAACTTAAAAAAACTGATAAAATAGGAGAAAAGGGAAATAAAAAGATAAATATTTGCGAATAGAATTGGGGAAACAAAGTGGTCGAGTAAATAATAGAAGTTAATTATCAGTGGAACACTGATGAAAAGACTTGATTGTGGACAAGGTTGTCTGGGCTTCTGTTAGAGGTAGCTGACGCTCAGTTGCCCACACCGTGAAAGGGGACATGAAAATGAAACTGGGTTAGTGGTGGTCTTAGTGACATGAGATCGTGACAACAGATCCAAAGGCTATTGTTGGGGATCAATTTCCAATCTGTAGCTTTCGTCATCAGACAGCAGTATATCACTATTTTTACTGGTTTCTCAGGAAAAATACTTTAATACCATCATACCCCTGTACAGTCAGAAGAATGACTGCGTACCCGAACTTATAAATGCTACTATTAATCTTGGCGTTTTCTAACCGATTTCTGGTATAATATAACCAAGACGAACGATCATTATAGCCCGACTGCTCCATGAAAATAGGTAGACCCGACCACCACACCACGGTACCAGTTGCAGTCGAGAAAATACTAAACAAATCAATATTCGTCAGAAATATTGGTGTGGCTGCAACCTGACTGAAATGTATGTAACCAGGTAGGTGAGATGGCAAAGGAGTGGTGCTAACTGAATCTATTTAGAGTAAAATTTCACAACTGGTAAGCGACTCAAGCACTAGGTTGTTACTAATTGGTATTTGACGTATTTACAAGATTTAACAGAATAAAGTTGATTACATTAAAATACTATGTCATATACATTAACTAAAAAAGGGATGATGAATTACTGTTAGCAGTTGCGTTATAGTATGGCTATGTGGTTATATTACGTTAGGATGTGACGACAGTAGTCAGTCAGTAACAACGTAGAACTTCGTACGTACGAATACCAGTTCGAGTTGCCACACCACATTAGCACAGAGATGCAGTTGTCGACTCAAATCCCGTAGTGGTAGAGGCGGTAAGACTATGAGCAGTAATCGGAAAGATTAGGGTTTGAAGATGTTATTTGAAGAGGATAATCCAGTGAAGTAAATTTGGAAAGAAAAAGAGACAAGGAGGATTCAGGAGATTAAAATTTGGGAAAACACAGAGTGGATGCACCTGAGCCATTGCAAACGAGTTTGAGCAATGTCATTCAAGGTCTCTAACCATCGGTTGCTATCATCTCGCAGTCCCCAACCAGGTAGTCTACACCTACCAACATGGCTCAGTCCACTTGTCAGTGACTTCATGGACTTGTGCCATGTTTTGGTCTGGCCTCCCCTAGCTTTCTTCCAACCGACTCCTACACCATTGAGCATCGCACGTCAAGGCAGTCGGTGGTTGGGCATACGTAACACGTGTCCCAGTCATCTCAACTGATGGAGTTTCACTACTTCATCAATTGATTTGCCATCCTTACCTAGTACCCGTTTCCTAACAACTGCATTACTTACTCGGTGGTCTCAGGATTTACGAGCGATGCTTTGAAGACACCTATGATCAAATACTAGTAATCTGCGGATATCCTCTACTCTTACCAGCCATGTTTCACTGCCATAAATTAGGACGGAACGAACTGCTGCACAGTAAACACGTCCTTTGGTTGATAGACGGATATCTCGCCTACGCCATAAATGACGCAAGTTGGCAAAAGCTAATCGAGCTTTCTGTATCCGTGCTGAGATTTCGTCACACACCAGACCACAAGGGTTGATGAGAGTTCCAAGATAAGTGAAGCGATCGACACGCTCAATTACTTCACTTCCTATCATTAGTTCGGGTGTCAATGCAACCCAATCCTGAAGCAACATTTTGCATTTCGAGGGGGAGAATCGCATCCCGAACATGCTTGCATTGTTGCTTAGAATGGTCAGAAGACTCTGCATTTTGTCAGCGTCTTCGCCAAATAAAACTGTCATCGGCATATTCCAAGTCAACAAGTGAACCTCCCGGTAGAAGTTCAACCGCTGGAAATTTAGACGAGGAAAGTATTATCTCTAGAAGCACGTCAACGATAAAGTTCAGGTCGAAAACCAGCCTGGTTTTCTCTGATTTTCACGAGCTTTAGTTAGGCGTCGAAGTATTATTGAAGCTAATATTTTAGACACTATATTAGTCAAACTGATTCCTCTGTGATTGTCACAAGAGGACTTTTGTCCTTTCTTATATACTGGCGCAATCAGTGATTGAGACCAGTCAGATGGGATTACGTCCAGTCCCCAAATTCTACCTAAGACCTCAGTTAATCTCACTGCTAATACTGGACCACCATCCTTAAAAATCTCAGTAGCAAACCTGTCAGGGCCTGCTGCTCTCCCTCGCTTCAGATTTCCTATAGCTTTTTTAACTTCATTAAGAGTCGGAGGACCTACATTAACTTGCCATTCAGGTTGACTGGAGATCGTGGGAAACCGAAGTGTGGCTGAAGGCCAGTTGAACTGATCCCTAGAGTGTTCCGCCCATCGATCCAATCTCCTGGACTGTGAATGTATAATATGTCCATCTTTCTGAGATTATTTCGCTAACAGTCGGGTTCCTAATACCGGTTTCCTTAACAAGTCTGAACAATTGTCTGCCATTACCTATTGCCGCTGCCTTTTCCATCTCTCTTGCTTTTGCTACCCATCACTGTTCACGATCATTGCGTAGGCTTCTTGTCAGCTTGCGCTTAAGCTGACTCTGCTCTTCGTTATGTTCGGATCCAGATGGAATGAGATTTCGAGCATATGTCGGTGCGGTAGATGCTGCTGAGATCGAGTGCTTTTCCCTAACCTTGTGGTTTATCTTACTAGCAGATATCACTGCTGTTTCTACAGCTTTTCGGATATCATTCCATGCTTCCTCGAGGTGGGCATCACGTACATGGCTGCCTAACTTTTTCTAGTTGTTCCTGAAATATACTCTTAGCTTGACTATCATTAAGTAGGCCCCTAAGAGGTTTCCTTGCAGCATCTTTCCTACGTTTAGTAAGACGCAGGTAAATACGCGCTCGTACTAGAGCATGATCTGAGTCTAAGCATGTGCTCCAGAATGAGCGACAGTCTTCTATCGAGCCCCTCCATCGGTGGCTGATAGCGATGTGATCTATTTGGGTTCAACGTTGGGACGAATTACGGGGTCGCCAAGTTAAAATATGTTTTTGCTTACGCTTAATGTTAGTATTTGCAAGAAAGAGGTGGTCATCTGAGCATAGCTGCAACAGACGGTCGCCATTATCTGTTCTTTTAGCCACGACACTATAAGATCCACCCAGGTGTCTTTCCCTTTCGCTTAGTTTACCTATTTGAGCATTAAAGTCACCAGCCACTATTACTACATCAGAACGCCTAGCTTTTCGGAGGTCGGAAAGCTTTCTGTAAAACTCATCTTTTACATAATTTGATCTGCAGTCAGTAGGAGAATAGGCAAAGACGACGAAGAGGCAACGACGAGTGTCCCTATCTTTTCAGATCCTTACTGTTCCGTTTAGTCGGACAGCGCACAAATGACTGTCTACTGGGATCCAGTCTAAGAGAGCTAGTTCTGCCCTAGGACTCAATGCTATAGCTACGCCGGTGAGGCCACAGGAAGCAGAATCAGGGTTTCCAGATACACGAAGTGTGAATCGAGTCGGTTCTTTATTTTGGCATGATGAGGTCAAATGAATGACGCTACTCGGATCCTGTATGCGCGTTTCGGAGACGCAGCACACATCGATGGCGCCGGATTCTAAAGTCCTAGCTAACGAAGCCTGCTGTCCTATTTGGCACAGTGTTCGTACGTTAAAAGCTCCTACGTGTAGTTTAGAGCGTGGTTTCAGAAGACCAGGAATAGCGTTCCACATACTCGAATCGTTTGCCCTAGCGGTGCGAGGTGATAAACAGACGTGAGGAGGGTTAGTCATAGAGATAAGAGTTATTAGGTGTAGGGAGGATTTGAATGTGACCAACATGGTTTCGTGTGCTGTTACGGGTATGAGGGCTGATGTCACTTCCCGGCTGCCCACACCGTGGAAGGGTATTTCTTGAAGAACCTGGAAAAGAAGTTGGATTAATGTTGGTCTTAGCGACCTGGGAGCGTGACCGCAGAGCCCAAGGGACAACTGACTGAGGCCGGTCGCGCACGGCCTTTTCGTGGGAGGTTTTCAATGTGTTAGCTCCGTTCTTCAAAGGGCCGTACCACCGAAGACGGGAATCCGTGAGGTATGACATTTTTAGGGTCGACCTTTCCTAACCCCTTCCTTCCTTGTGAGAAGGCAGCATTGCTGCAGATACTGCTTGTCCGAGGGAGATACCTTACTGCGGTCACACCTCTCTACAGTGAGCAGTACTTCGCACCCAGACCCTGAGTCGCTGCTTTTAGTCTTACCGTTCTGCAATCGACCTGCCTGGCATGGTAGAACCTGCAGGAACATATGTTTCAGTCATTATAGCTCGGTTGCCTCATCACGATAGCGATAGTCAAGCGCGACCACCACATCAAAGTAGCAGCTACGGTCGGGCTGTACCAGGGCATTTGTAGTGCATCCCGACCGTTGTTGCTACTTTGATGTGGTGGTCGCGCTTGACTATCGCTATCGTGATGAGGCAACCGAGCTATAATGACTGGAACATATGTTCCTGCAGGTTCTACCATGCCAGGCAGGTCGATTGGAGAACGGTAAGACTAAAAGCAGCGACTCAGGGTCTGGGGGCGAAGTACTGCTCACTGTACAGAGGTGTGACAGCAGTAAGGTGTTTCCTCCAGACAACAAGCATGACAGCGATGCTGCCTTCCCACAAGGAGGGGTGTGATTAGAAAAGGTCGACCTTAAAAATGCACACCTCGCCTTTTCCCACAGATATCCATCTCCGGCGGTAAAGTTTCAACAAGTACAGAGCTAACACAAAAATTACTCATAAAAAGGTTGTGTGTGACCGTCCTCAAGCAGTTGTCCGTTGGGCACTGCGGTCACGCTCCCAGGTCACTAAGACCACCTCTAATCCAATTTCCTTTTCAAGTACTTTCAGAAGAACCCTTCCACGGTGTGGGCAACCGGGAAGTGATAATCGCCCTCATACCTCTAATAGCACTCAAGACCACTTGTAGTGCATACATATTCCGGACGAATAAGCACTCTCCTCGAGAATTATATAGATCTTGAAAAACATTCCAGTTGGAATTCTAGATGGTCTAGATTCGGACATTATGATGGAACGGTAAAGTGGTGGCTTTGCGACTAAAGGGTTCGACTTTCAGCCACTAAGTTTCATGTTTAAGCATCCCTCTATTTATTATGTTTTGTGCGAGCGAATAGTATCATTAGACAGGAGTGTGGGTTATATTGAGTGATACCTAGCTAATAAACAAACTAGTCACGTTTAAGTCCACAACTAAACCAAAGCGTTTCACATAAGTTTGGTAAAGTAATCCCATAATGATATAAACAAACATGAAGAGGAAATTAAAAGGCAAAAACCAAAAATAGACGCGGGAAGCCGAAAAGAATAACGCTGGATCAAACAGTTGTGATAACAATATTAGTGAACTTGAGCCACTTATAACCTTAAGTGATGTAGATTCTCATAGTGACGTCCTGCTGTCTAGTCAAAGAGATCCGTCACACCTTTTTTTATTTTGGTCACAGAACGTTATTTGGAAAAATAAATAATTGCGTAACGTTTCAAACGGGCAGTAATACTACATGGCTTTCCATAACAATGTAAAGCGAAGTCCAATTAATGGATGAACATTAGACTTAACAACTAGAAAATGCTTAATAAGCATGGGTGAAAATCCTATTTTGCAATGACCTAATTAATTATAGAATAAGTAGTGTAAGTGCCAACAGATGCACTTAAAGGTTGTTCGGAAGTGAGGCAACCATTGTACCATAGTTTGACCTGTGAGACTGTGATTTACATACATTTGAGCGACGGTAAATGGACCTTGAGAATGTGACGACAGTAACGCCCTCCTTGAGCACCTACTACTTGAAGACGCACACCATTAGGAAGAGAAGGGTGATTCTAAAAATAATCCAACATGCTACTCATTACAACTAGAAGAGAACTTTCTCTAAGGATAAGATAATCAATACGAACAGCTTTAAAAAATGAACAAAATTAAAGCATGCATATGCAAACTGAGGACTTTTCAGTTATACGTTTACCAACATCAGTTTGCAATTTTTGGAAGAGACCTCATTATAGGCCAAATCACATATTATAAGAATGAAGTTCAGAACTACTAAAACAGATGTTAGAGAACGTATTTGAAATATACACTAGAAATACACCAATAACGTTGTCTGGTGAATATAAACATTTTTACTGAGATGATTGCGGAAAATAATGCTAAACAGCCGCTTGAACACTGGTAATTAAGGAGAGAGAAAATACATTTACAGTAAGCTCGACTAACGGAGGTCTAACGCTCATTAATGGGAAGTCTAATTAGACGCTGAAGGCGTATTGTTTTACTTTCCCATGCAGCAGAAACTTATAAAGTGAATAAATGAAACCAAACACAACAGATATATGATTTCCAGACAAGGATCATATCTACTTAAAATCAACGAACACCAACCCTCACATTTAAGCACAACGTGCATTCAAATGCGTAAAGCGCGCTCAAGCGTCAAAATTTGAAAACAATCAGTCAAATTACATATACATTAAAGCATACAAAGCTCTAGGAAGCTGAATTTGATAGCTTCGAGTTTGTGCAGAACATGAAAAATCACGAAGACGTTATTTGATGAGTAATATTCACCATATACCCACTAACCTAAACATATCACTAATTTATTTCGTT